GGTCAAGGTCCTCCATCTCCAGCACTGCTGGTTCATCTGGGGAAGAAGAAGGGTGGGTTAGGTGGGCTGGAGGATGGGATAGTGACTGTCTTTCCCCTTTTGCTTTGGCATCCAGAAAGAAAGCTAAGAGTCAAATTCCAGGTTTAACTGGTAGCATCTGCTTGGAATGTTATGGTCTGTGTATCTGCAGTGTTTCTGACCTTCTTGATCCTTGATTTTAATTGATATTTTATCTGGTCGTCCTTTTTAAAATTTTAATTGAATATATCTCATTACATATGTAAGCACTGAATATCCTTTGTGGAAGAAGGTAGAGAATATCATTTACTGAGTGGCTATGGTGTGCCAGGCAAATGCCAGGGACTTTCTACACGTATCTCTAGTCCTCACAGTCACATCCTGCCAAAACAGACACAATTCTCATGTCACAGATGAAGAAACTGAGGCTTAGGAAGGAACTCATCCATGTGAAATAGCTAATGGAATTAAAACCTAACCCTGTACTGATGTATATTAATCCAGTGAGACGAAGAAATGATGATTCTGAAATGGTGGGTTTGGGACTCAGACAGCAGCTCAACTCTCTCCAGTCTAGGAAGGAGACATGCACAGTTGGAATTGGCATGGGGTCAAGAGAGAAGGAGAGAGATTCTGGGGCCAGTGGGTCACCCAGGGGATGCTGGGGAGGGAAGCCAGGAACCCTGAGGATGGGCATGTGAGCCACAAACTTGGGTCAGAAAGCTACGCACAGCTGCCCTATACACTCCATTTCTCCCCTATCTTCCATCTGTCCTCCTTGCCCTGTCTTAAACAGCTGTCTTGCCCCCTCCCCAGCCTCCTGTTCCAATGGTACCAGTGCCACAGGCCACTCCATCCTTCCAAGACCCACTCTGCCTCTCTTGCCAGGGCCGCCCGTCCCTGCAGCTCGATGAGAGGGCATGGGGGAAAAGCAGGACAGTGTGTCCTGCCGGTGAGCAGGCAGACTTATTTTCCCCCAGAAGTAAGGAATTGGCCAAGAAACTTTGGTTTTTGTTACTCCCTCCTCTGATTAAAAACCTCTAGGGTTCTGTGTGGAGAAGAAAGAATGGGAGCAAAGAGGGCAGAAGGAGCCCACCGGACAGAGGTTCCGCTCAGTTCTAGACCAGAGGAAACGCGGTTCCCACCTTCAGCCCTTGGAGCGTCCCCTTCCGGAGGACCACTGTCAGAACCCGGCTGCTCAGCCAGCCCGTGGGAGCCAGGCCCCTCCCAGGTGGCCCCGCCGGCCAATCGCAGGAGACCCTGTTGGGGCGCTGCCCTCGGAGGGGAGGGGATTAGTCACTGTCAAGCGCAGAGAGAGGGCCGGAGTGCCTGGGCTCTACCGTGGGCAGGGACGCGCATCCATACCTTGTCTTTGGGGTTCTTCCTTGTGAGGCCGGTTCTTGCCGAGCTTCATGGCGGAGAACACGCTTCTCCCGGCTCTGTGAAGGGGGCCGCCAGAAAAGAGGTGGAGGGAGATGGACGCCAGGAGGAAGGCACACAAACACAGAAGAGCAAAACCCGAGAAAACACGTAAGGGGGAGGGAGAGCCAAGCTCGAGCTCCTCACCTACTGGTCCCAAGATATACTGGGGGCCAAACTTCCCAAGTTGGGAGCCATGAGGGGGACTTAGGGCAGAGGAAACCCCACCAACTCCTCCTTCCCCATGCCTTTCGCCAGTAAGGAGCAGGTTGGGGCGGCAACCAGAGAAGGTGGCCTTCAGAACCGTTTTAACTGGGCAGATCCCAGCCCCCTCAGTCCAGTCTTGGAGCTCTGAGCTCTGCCAGTGCCGCCCAGCTCATCTTCCCTGTCCATGCATCCCACCTCAGCTGGGTGGAAAGAAAGCCAGACGACCAGACACAGAGCATGAGAACAGAAGGGCAGGAGCAGGAACAGAGGGGCAGAGGTTGCTGAGGGGGTGGGAGGTGTGGTTGAAACTAGCTGCTTAGTTCTCTGATGGCTCTGGTGCTCAGAGCCTGCCTTGTCTCTCCCAACCTCTCCATGCCCTGGGATTCTCCTTGGTCCCCAGTGAAAAGGAGGAGATGGGCCCTTTCCTGTCTATCTTTGTTCCTGGCTTTGCCCTTTCTGCCTGTCCCCTCTCACTACAGAGTCCCTCTTTCTGCCACCCCCTAGGAATATATGGCAGGTTCCAGAGTTCCTACCTCTTCTTCTGGCTTGGTGTGGCCCCCAGGTGAAGGGCCTTGCAGTCAGAGGGGCTGAAGTAAGGGGGCAGGGGGTCCTCACTATCCCTTCAGTGATGTCCTGGCAGCTGAGTTTGCAGTCCCTGGTCCAGGAGGGACCAGGAGTAGGATCAGCAGGGGGTAAAGTACAGTATTCCATTACCCCATCAATATTGCATCAGCTGGACACCTGACTCCCTCCATTTCCCATTCTCCCTCCTCCTGGCTGTGGCCCTGTCATCCTGTAGGCCAAGGTGGGGCGGGGTGTAGACTCCAACCCTAAGCTCACCTACAGCAGATCTCACCCATGTTTGGGGTCAGGCATCTCCCCATGGAGGCTTGGGTATGGTTTCCCAAGAACCCCTGTTCTTCATGCTGGGTCATATGAGATTGGGGAAAACCTTTTTGTCCCTGTAGAGATGGCCTAGAAACCTTAAGCCTCTCTACTCAGGACTGGGGAGCCAGCCTCATCCCCCAAACCTGGCCCTGTCCTAGCTCTAGGCCTTTTCTTTATTCTTCATATGCCAGATAAGACATGGAGGTGTGTGTGTGTCTGTGTCCCAGTGAGAGATCAACCAAGAACCATCTCTTTCATATGGCACCAGCTCACAGTTTAGGAAACACTGGCATCTTCATGATTTCCAAAACAGGTGAAAGAAGGCTGAGGTAGCACTGATCTGTCTGCATTATCCAGCATTGTGTCATCCGGGGCATACCAATGGGAGGAAGAGGGAAAGAAAGGCACTCTAAAAAAGGGGAACTGATGCCTTTGGAATTATCTTGTTTCTCCCCAACAAGAGATTATATAACCTTTTTTGAACAACTAATCAACGCCAACGGCTTCTTCAGATGTTTACTCATTTCATCTTCCTAGCAGTTCTGGGAGGGCCATATGCTTCTCATTCAACCCATGAAAAACCTGGGGCTCTGAGATTTGGGATTAAAGCACACAGCTCCCATCTCCCAGGTTGGCAATGTTCCCACTGCACCCTCAGTGCTGTGGGACTGCACTTCTCTAGGAAAGTGATTCCCATCCTGACCACTTGAAACTTTGGCAAAAAGTCTCCACATTCCAGCACCGCTTGCAGACCGGGACGTCATCTATGAAGAGTCCCATGGACAGTGCCTATGTTTACAGAGTGGGACCTCATTTCAAAATAATCAAAGCATCAACACATTTTGGAAGAAACTGTTATAAATATTAAATTACTGGTGACCTAAAACTGAACAGATCAATGAGCCCATTAGAAACAGTCATGTGTTGGGGAGGGTAGAGCTCAATGGTAGAGTGTGTGCTTAGCATGCACGAGGTCCTGGGTTCAATCCCCAGGACTTCTGTTTAAAAAAGTAATAAAAAAAATCTAATTACCACCACCCCCTGCCAAAAAAAAAAGAAGAGAGAGAGAGAAAGAAGCAGTCATGTGTTGATGAGAAAGGAACCATCCTGTGAGACTTCTCCCTGCCTTAAGGGAAGAGGTGTCAGCTGTGCTCTGATCCTTGTAGCAGGTAGTGGGCCTCGTGTGGCCCCTCTCTCCACTTCCTGTCTCACTAGGTTTCCCTTCCTCCCAGCCTTGCTGCTCTCCTGGACTACCCACGAGTCTCCCAGACGGCCCTGTGCTCACTGTGTACAGTCACTTCTTGGCCATTCCTGGGCTGTGTCATCCTTAGAGTCCCCAGCCCCAGTCAATGTGTGACCAACATGCTGCCATCACACACAGTCTGCTCCAACCACACAGCCCCTGTCCCATCCCCCTTGCATTAATGCCACCCAGGAAAGCGCTCCCAGATGGCAGATCAAAGCCATGTGTCAGCTCAGAGCAGGTCCTGCCTAGAGAAGCCAGCCACACTGCATTCTGGGATGGGACTTAACCCTACTGCC